CAGCACGCGCCTGCCCCGGGGCCAACCCCCTCCCCCGCGCGCGCCTCCCCCGGGGTTGACTCACCCCTCATGTGCGGTGCAGGGAGCCAATGCTTCCTCCCGCAGTGGAAGTGGAGCTAAGCTGCGGGACTTCTGTCCATCTACGGGAAGCCAGCACTATCTCCATTTTCACTTGAGGTAGGTAGTGGGGCTTCTCAGGGGTGGGAGGGAAATGGGAGCGGGGCGGACAGGAGGCCTCGCGATTGACTGGTCAATCGCGATCGATCTGTTGGGGACCATGGATCTAGTATATTGAAGGAAGTTATGGAAACAACTTATTCAAGGAAGAACTTGCAAAGTCTAACATGAAGTGTTTAATGAAACACGCTTTTTGTGTAAAATGGAAATAATGATTATCAGTATAAATTAGTTATGAGGCTTGCTAAATATGCCTTTGAAATTAAGCCACTGGCATAAATTTAGTGATATAACAATATCAAAATTGCTTTCGCTGCTTTTTTCACAAATGCAAATATGAAATGTGTGTACTGTAAACTGCATCATAAGTAAAATTAAAGTAACATTATATTTGAAAACATCTTTGTATTTCGATCATCTTCGTATTCTTTCATCAGTGAAACCATTTGCAAAAATAAGATTTGGTTAGGTGCATCAAGCCAACTTTTTATCTTCTTGCCTAACTCTATTCTAGTGTTGGAATAGTAAGTGGGCCTCATGAGTGGTCCTCCTTCATTTCAGTAGACCATAGCAGCTTGCAGCCCTTTGGGGTCCCCCTGCCTATATCCTGTGGCTGTGTTTAGACTGGCCACTTTTTTCTGGAAAAGCAACCGCTTTTGCGGAAAAACTTTCTAGCTGTCTAGACTGGCAGCTTGAATTTCCACAAAAGCACTGACGATCTCATGTAATATTATCAGTGCTTTTGCGGAAATACTATGCTGCTCCCGTTCGGGCAAGTCTTTTTCCGAAAAACTTTTGCACAAAAGGGCCAGTGTAGACAGCAGAGATTTATTTTCCGCAAAAAAGCCCCGATCACAATAATGGCGATCCGGACTTTTTTGCGAAAAAGCGCGTCTAGATTGGCAGGACGCTTTTCCGCAAAAGCACTTTTTGCAGAAAAGCATCCTTAGCCAATCTAGACGTGCTTTTCCGAAAATACTTTTAACGGAAAACTTTTCAGTTAAAAACATTTCCGGAAAATTATGCCAGTGTAGACGTAGCCTGTCTGCCCCTCATATGCCACTTGTGGATTGGAGCACCGGAGCCTTGTACTTCCTCCTCCTTCCTCTCCTCTCAGCACTTTCGAAATGTTGCGGATCTATTAATTCACACTTTGTCCTCGCTTTTTTTCCCCTCCCTCCCAGAGCTTGAACAGCTGATTCGCTAACTTTTTGCTGCTTATTTTAAAATTTCACTTAATTTGGACACCGTTTCATTCACTGTCAAAGCAACTTCATTTCCAGATTTTTAGTGCTGCAGTGTTTGATTTTCAGTTATTGGAAGGTAATATTCATTTTAAAATTTGAATAGAAACTTTTAAAAATGGAAATACTTTCATTGGTCCCTGGGGTATGTTAAATTTAGCCTTAGACCATATGTACACTACAAGATAAGGCCAAATTTATTAAGGTAGATTTTTTTTTTTTAGCATCTGATTTTTGTAAAGTAGAAGGTGCATGTCCCCACTGTGCTTAAGAATTCAGTGCAGTTTGAAGTAGTGTGTCTCCAGTAGGATGGCTTGAGAATGATGCACATTGAGAATGGGTAGCTATCATACAGTTCCTGTACCCCTTTGCAATCTGGGTTATCTTCTCACTGCACACTGGGGCCAAAACTGTACAATGGGTGATTCTGGGTAGGTGTCATTAGCGTCTCATAATACACTCATCTCCTCAATGGCAAACAGTCTCTTTGCACTCTTTTTCCCCCCCTGGTTATCTGTGCAAACACCATAAAAATATAAGCATGGATTCAATCGTGGATCACATTGAACATCAAAGCATGGCAATCGTATTAACCATGATGAGCTTTATATTGGAATATATTCAGAGAGTTTCTAGGGTTTGCTGGAATGAGGAATAATCTTGGGAGGCATGAACATACTTTTCTGCATAGCACTTGAGTAACTGGCAAATGCCACTGGTGGGATCATGCATAGTGATGAAGCTATGGGATCATCACCAGTGGCTGCAAAACTTTTGCATGTGTAAGACCCTTTCATGGAAGTTTATGAATTGCTTTTGCACCCCCGAAGCACAGCAATATCATAATGAGACCTTCTCTGACAGTGGAGAAGTGAGTGGCAATAGTCCTGTTAAGGCCTACAGTGCCAGACAGCAACTGGTCAGCTGGGAATCAATTCGGAGTGGGGAAATCTACAGTGGGGGCAGTTTGATCCAAGTAGCCAAAGCAATCAGTATCCTGCTATGGAAGGTAGTGACTTGAAGTAGCATGGAGGACATAATGGAGAGCTTTGCTGTGATGGGGTTCCCTAACTGTGGTGGGATGGTAGACGGGACACACATCCCTATCTTGGCACCTGACCACTTTGCCAAAGAGTACATGACCCATAAGGGGTACTACTTAATTGTGCTGCAGGCACTGGTGGATTGCAAGAGCTGTTTCATCAACAACAGTGTGGGATAGTTGGAAAACGTGCATGACGTGCACATCTTTAGAAACGTCTGCTTCTTCAGAAAGCTGCAAGCTGGAACTTTCTTCCCAAATTGGAAAATTACCACCGGAAAGGTTGATGCTAATAGTGATCCTTAGCAGCCCAGTCTTGCTCCCGTGGCTCATGAAGCCGAACGTGGAAAGTCTAGACTGCAGTAAGGAGCATTTCAATTACAGGCTGAGCAAGTGCAGAATGGTGGCAGCATGTGCTTTGGGGCATTTAAAGGGAAGGTTCTGAATTCTACTGACTAGATTAGATCTTAACAAATGCAACATTTCCATTGTAGTGGCAGCTTGCTATGTGCTCCAAAATATTTATGAGAGTAAGGAGGAAAGTTTTATATGGGAGGGTGAGGTGTTAAGACACACTGCCTTCCCAGTAATATGAGAATCCAGACACCAGGGCAATAAGGAGAACACAGCAAGGACACTGCAAATCAGAGAGGCTTTGAGAGAGCGTTTTATGAATGGCCAGTTTTAAAAGCCATGCGTGTTGCTCTTAGCAAGGTGCCCCTGCATTCAGTGTGCTTGCCTGTAAACCTGGAATGGGGAACCTTTTTTGGGTCAGGGCCACTGACCCACCAAAAAATCAGTCAGGGCCTGGCTGCATGCAAATGAGAAGAAAAGAAATCCCTCACTGATGTGGCCCGCAACTGAGAAGGAGGAAGACACTTCCCACATTCCCCTCTCTCACCAGAGCCTAAGAGAACTCCAACCTCGTAGATTCAAATGAGAAAGCCCTAGAGCGGGACATTGGTGGGGCTGGAGTGCCAGCACACGCCCCCCAGTGCTAAGGAGGGCCCTGATCCTTGGGGGCTGTATCTAGGCATGCTGCAGGCTACATCTGGCCCCAGGCCTACTGTACCCCCCTTCAACACAAGCAATAAAGAGACTGTTGTTTGGAAATCATGCATTTTTATATAGGGACAGAAAAGAAGTTCATGGT